TGAAAAAGTGTGAAAAATAATCCTTTCAAAAGTCAAAGGAATGCAGTAGAATTGGGAGGAGGTGTTGAAGGTCTGCTTGAGTCATGAATTTATAATGGTTACAATCTGCCCTGTTGAATGACTATTTCCAGCACAGTGTGTCTACCTGGGGAGGAAGGGAGAAAAAAGGAAAACAGAGGAACCCCAACGAAAGTATGATTTTAAAAGAGGGAGTAAATGTATGAATAAAACTAAAACAGGGGACCAAAGGTATTTAGAATACTAGTATTACTAAATAGATTACTGGTGATACTAATAGAATACTGGTGATATTAAAGTATTACTAAAATTACATGCTATGAAATCAGAGTAAGATAAGGAAATAAAGACAATTTATGGATAGAAAAGAAGTAGAGGGGTCAAGTAATTGCATGAGCAAGTAAGAAGGAGAGAAGCTGTGGTTAGGGAGCAAGGTGAGTGAGTGAGTGACTTCAGAGGTGAAATAATTATGGAGGAGTACGTGAGCTCAGTGCAGTGACAGCAAAGGTCACAGGAGGTGGGAAGGTCGAGGAGTCAAAAGTTAGCTTCTCGGTTTTGTGACATACATGGGCTCTCATGGCACTCAAAAATTGTAAACAGCTACAAAAACACGTATGGTGGTATCCTGAATATACTTTCAAAGGAAGAACATTCAAAATATTAATAGTAAAACCTTCACATCCTAAGAATGAGATTTGGACAGCATCAGCCATAGTGTATTTACTTTAAGCTTTACTACTTAGTTGTATTTCCTATATCATAAATTTAAATCAATTCTCACCTTCACAAAGCAAATGCATAAGAGAAAAACAAAGATCAAGCTTTCTCTCTCCTACTTCTCCCAATCTTTTACAAAAGTATAAATAATTTTATGAGTTTGAGGTATTACTGCTAATTGCAAATTGTAAAAGCAAGTATATTATAATCATAAATTTCATAAAAACAAGGAAAAATATTCTTACCAAAAGAAGGTGACTCCCTTCCATCTTCTAATCCCGAATCTCTCTCTCTGTCTCTCTTCCGGTGTTTATGACCACGATGCCTGTGACGTCGATGGCTTTTTCTTCCTCCCAGGGGCACATGAACTCCAATAAAGAGTGTTCGATGACCTTCATTAGGAAATAAATGCACAAATTAAATTTCAAATTATTCTAAGGCACATAAGATGATTTACATGTTAATAGAAACTCAATTTACTTCAATCCAGAAAATCATTTCTGAGTGTTTATGACATATAAAGCTTGGGGCTTGGCACTCTATTTTGGTGTATTTCCTAATTAAGTATACCACAGGTCTATCACAAACATTTAAAATACTAATTATTTGGTTGTATATTTTGCGATCATCCTTAATTTACTGCCTTTGTAATCTGTGTTTATTTCTCATACTTTAATTATATTCTTCTTGTTAGAAAATAATTTTGTTTTACCCTCTCCCTATCCTCAACTAACTGTATTAACTCACCAATTCCCCTCCCTTCATAGGTAAGTGTGTGAAAAAGTCACTATCTTCTAATAAAACAGACTTCACCAAGGTCCCTAGTAATGCCAAATCCCATGGAGTTTTTTCAGTTCTACTGTTTCTGTCTGTGGCACTTGATACCAGTCACAACCTTCTCCATGATATTACTTTCTCTTGGTCCTCCTCCTCCTTTTCTTTGTTTCATCCACATTACTTCCTTTGCTGATTCTTCTTCTTCCCCATTCAAGGCTGGGGATCCTCAGGACTCTGTCCTTGACCTCATGATTTCAACCACAATATATGCTGCAGGCTCTGAGACCTACCTGTTGATGCCAGTCCTTTCTCTTGGACTGAAAACCTACATATCCATCCATCTACTATACATGTTGACCTGCACATACTACCATAGGCATGTCAAACTCAACATTTCTATGGAATTCATCCTTTTCTTTGTCCTACAAGTATCAACTGTCATCTGTCTCAGGAATGTACCACTTTATTCAATCATCTCAAAGCTCAATGAATTTATCACCAGGTCCCAATTCCCAAACACCACTTGAAACCATGTCCTCTTCAATATTCCTACTGGTTTTGTCTTAGTTTGAACCCTTATCATATCTTACCAGGACTATTAGAACATTCTCCTTACCATTTTTTTCCTAACTCCAATCTTGTCCCACCTCTTATCCATCCTGAATGCTGATGCCTTTTAAAAAAATGCAAATTTGACTATAATTATTCCCTTGCTTTAAACTCATTATTTTCTATTGCCTATAGGATAAACTTTTTAATACTTTAAATATTTTAATATATATTTTTAGATATTTTAATAAAATCTCTAAATACTTTCATATTTTAATACTCCAAATAATATCTGATCTCTGCCTATTTCTCCAGGCATACTTTTAAATACACTCTGCCTCACACACTACAAGCCAGTGTGGGCTCCCTCATATCTGAATAGACAGGTGTTCTCAGGTCTCTTTGCTTTTACTTAATGCTGTTTTTACATGGGGCTGGAGATTAGTAAAGATGATGTGACAGAAAATCAGGACATCAAAGGCAAGACTTGAGCTGGAATGGCTAACCACTGAATCCAGGATGAAGAAGGAGATACCAGGAGACAGAAAACTTCAAGGAGTCGGAGGTTCCAAGAGGACTGAGAAATAAACTCAACGGAAGTGAAAAAGTAGGACTGAGGCTGGGTCCGCATGGGGAATTGCAAGAATTCAGAAGAGGTGCTGCTCTGGATAATGGTAAGATATGGTATGTGGTTGTGCATACAAGTTGCTACGCAGAGGCATCTTTTGATATGATTATTTACCAACTCTCTATTTTCTTTGATGAGGCATCTGTTCAGATATTTTCCCATTTTGTAATTGGCTTGTTTGTTTTTTATCATTGAGTTTTGAGACTTTTTCATATATTTTGGATATAAGTTGTCCTCGTCAGTTCAGGCTGCTATAACAAAACTACCATGGACTGGTGTCTTAAACAATAGAAATTTATTTCCCGCAGTTCCAGAGGCTGAGGAGTTCAAGATCAAGGTGATGGCCATATTGTTTTCTGGTGGGGGCCCTCTGCCTTGTTTGCAGATAGATGCATTCTCGCTGTATCCTCACATGGCAGAGAGAGAGATCATCTCTCTCATGTCTCTTCTTATAAGGGCACTAACCCCATTCATGAATGTTCTACCTTCATGACCTAATTACTTCTCAAAGGCCCCACCTTCAAATATCATTACATTGAGAATTAGGATTTCAACATACGAGTTTTAGAGGGGACACAAACATTCAGCTCATAACATTTCACCCCTGGCCAAACCCAAGGCCACCTCTTGTTATCTTCTAGAAGTTGTCTAGTTTTGTGTTCT